GTGGTTGAGGTCCCATGAAGAGGAAACAGAACAAGCACGGGGCACTTACTGGGTGAGTAGGCGATGCATTGGATCGCCTCTGCGCTCTCGTGGTGAGCAGCAATGACCTGGTGAAGGACGGCGTCGAGAACAATCCACCGACCGGAGGATGTGCCAACAGCAAGCACGGGAACCGTGTCCGGCAGGCCGCCGTTCGTCACTGGGTCCTCGGGGGTCGAGTTCGGCTCGCTGACGCCCACCGCCGCGATCGCGGGGTAGAAGCAGGCGCATACGACCTCCTCGGAGAGGTTCTCCGCCCAGACCAGACGCTTCGTCAGGGAGTCCCACAGGAAGACGTTTCCGTCTCGGCCGCTGGTCAGGAAGTGGTGGGTCTGAGGATGCGCCGCCAGCGCCCAGAACTCGTCCGAGTGGCCCTGCACCAGCGGACTGAATTCCGTCTCGAGGTTGCCCTGTTCCACAAGACGAAATGACAGACGAATTAACAAAATCACCAGCAGGCGAAGGCGTCTGTAGTTGATCACAAGCACATGACACTGTCGACACAATTTTAGTAAAATCGTGCACGTTTGTGGTGGGGATTTAAACAGACTGCACAGTGAATCAAGTCCCACACTCAGACGAGACGCATGACAGCATCTTCAGCACTAATCTGGCCGACTCAACACACCTGGAGAATGTCGCCCTGCGTGGTGCCGACGATTAGCATGTTGCCGGGGCCAGCGATGAGGGTGCGAACAGGTCCGTACCAGGCGTTCAGCTCAACAGACACGCCCGTCGGGTTGTAGTCGGCGTCGAGCTGGACGATGCGGCAGTCCTTGCCGCCGCCGGAGATGAGGTGGCCGTCCTTCGAGAACGCGAGAGCAAATATCCCGCCAGAGTGGACACCAACCACCGCCTGGGCGATCTTGTTGGTGCCTGAAAATATACAACCGTTGGATGCATGCACACACTGTAGACAACCAGCTCGTGGCTCGTCTTCAAACCACCAAAAAACGACAACTGCTTTGCTGAAACAAAATCTGAGGGATTTTAAAGCGGGTGGAATGGTGAACGTGATTGTAACCAAAAGTGCGTACCTCGCGGCCAAACGAAAATCGTGCCGTTTGAGTCCCCAGTTATCAAATCGCCATTCTCCGCAAAGACCATCGTAAGAACGAATTTGGGTTTTTCGTATTTCTGAAAAAAAAAACACCATTGACAATTAACTCCAATTGGTGACGGCGTGTCTGCTTTAGGGGGGGGGATAAGTAAATTCAACCCGTACGAAAATTTAACCCGTTTTTACTCTGTGTTTAGCAGCCACGACATGGTAAAAAAAAACAGTTAAGAGTGGAAATTTGTGGCTTTCAAAAAGAGGGGAGTAAAAAACCGTCGTAAACGTCAACATTACTCCGAAATTCATTCGTTAACATTAAATTTTGTCTCATCGTGTTGTTTCATGTTTAGTTTGCGTTCATTTCTGTTGATAACCCTTCTAAATTGTACACAAAGGCAAAAACCTCGTCGTCTTTGTCGACAGAAAGCTGAATGTTTTCATTGACAGGGCACTAAACTCTATCTTGAGGCCGAAATAAAATCAATTAATTAATCAATTGTGGTTAGTCGTCCAATCCACATCGCTCACATCGCCCAAGCTCATTACTCGACGATTTGTTTTACTGAAGAGATCAGCTCGAAGGGCGCCATTTCGAATTTGTTTACCCAACTGGCAAGCTACATGCGCCAACACTTACACGTTGCGCTTTTGCACATATGTACTGTCATATGTTTGTTAACATTATTTCATAAGAGTTGTATTTTGAAACAGACGACTATTGGTGCAGGCCTAGTCAAACGGGAAACATAAACTCCAAACTTGGCCGGTAAATTAACGGACGATGGCCGAACGAACGAAAAAAGGTGAAACGCAACGGTGCCGCATGAATGTACATCCAGAAGACGGTAGTTTTGCGTGAAGTACAGTTTCCAATGCAACCGGGGTTACAAAGAAGACGCCACACAACGCAATATAACCACAAACATACCACCTGATTTAGGTAATAACATTAACATGAACTGGTCAAACAATGCATACGATAAGCGAATCCAGACGTTCACGAAGCAGAGGTTAATGGGTTCTATCGAAGATGAAACGCGTTAACACTACATTAAGAAAAATTTTGTGAAAGGGGCCGTGAATTAGTTTCGGAGCACAAAATAATTCGACAAGGAGAATACAATTAATGCAGCCGAAAGCGAACTCACATCGAAAACGCCCTGTTTCTTGTTAAGCAAGGAGCCGTCGAAGTTCCAGAACGCGAGGTGATTCTTTCCGATGGAGACGAGTGAGTTTGCGTCGAGGGGGCTGAAGTCCACGGCGATCACGGGATCTGAGGAGGTCTGCAGTTAAGAGGGGGCAAAAATCAATAAACAATGTCGTACAGCGAACTCGCGATCGTCCATTGAAGCAGGATGATGTTGTTTCTCTGGATTATCCACAGGTCCAAAGGGTAGTCGACCGCCGATTCAAGGATTTGCGACTAGGATATGTGAATTGAGGCCAAGTATTCAAAAGGCGGTGGGCTATTTTGGCACAGTGAGAGCGACTTGGATTGGTGGAGTGAGAAACATGGGGACGCTCACCTTGGTTTCAGTTAGACGACGCGTTTTCTGCCATTCCCAAAGCGAGATGGTGTGGTCATTAGCTTCGTCGATGACAGCCAAGATCGCACCACCGTCCTACAGAAGGGAGGGGGGAGATAAAACCGATGTACTTGTTGCCAGGCAACGCCTCAAGGTTGTCGGTGTAAACGAGGATTTCGGGGGTCATTTTAAATTGGAAAAACTAGTCCCCATTCCGGTGTAGTGGATCGTGCTGACTCACGTCCGTCAACTCTGTCGTCACAAACTCTAACACACCACCCAACCCAAATTCACAGCATGAGTTCACACAAACTGCACTTGTCATCAACTTCATTGTTCATGCCCGACTTGGAGCGCACGCACACGACACACACGCACTACACAACCAGGCTGAAGCGTTTCCGGTCGTCTTAGACTTCCAGAGTTTCGATGGAGGGTAATCTTGATCTGGACAACCCTGGAGACGATGGACAGAGGCCTACCGTTTTTGAGAAGCTGAGACAAGCGACGGAGTTCTCGAAGACGCCTAATCCGAGGACCTGGAGGGTCTCCAGGCTCACAGAATTCCAGATCCGCACGTGGGGCTGTGGAAGAAAGGAGAAGATTCACACACACACCCCCACGAGAAGACCTCATAATATTAATCAATAAGAACTAGAACTGACTACCGATAATGAGCGGTCAAATTTTTTGCAATTGGGAAAAGGAAAGTGTTTCGGGAATTTTAGAGAACCACTTCTCGAAATCAACTCGTTTGAATGCGAAATGTAATATTTATCACCATGCCTCAGTTTTGACCAATCAGGTCATCCAGAAATTTATTTCCTCCATTCCCAAGATTGGGACAGGTAATAAACACGAGTCGGAACGATTGCTAAAAGATCCGGGCTTAATTAAATCGAATCACTCTTTCTTAGGAGTTAACAAATCGGCTAAATCAATAAACAATTTTGCTCGATTTGCGTTTTCGCACTTTTAAACAGAAAAATGAATCACCAGTGTCAGTACTCGGCGCATAAAGAACTTAGAAACTGATATGGGTACAGATAATGATGATTTTTTTTATAATTAACTCATCTAAAGTAGACAATTCAATGTCCCGATTGGGGAAAATATTAAGAGGTCTGGATCTTGTATACGCACGCCGAGCAATCCGATCTGCTAAATTAGCATCAGAAGTGATAACAATATCGATATTTAAGGAGGTCGGATGCTACCACTGGGTTAGAAGTGGCAAAAAAACAATCAAATTTGGTATTGGCGACAGACTTACTCTTCCTTCCGCTTTCGCGTGTCCGGCCGTCTGGCCACTGGCGATTGTTATCTTGTCGGGGTGGACAGCGATGCTGAGGAGAAAAAAACTGATTTTTAAATCGTTCCCACAGACGAAGCACACTCTCGGCGAGTGTCGGAGTAGCCAATTATCTCATCCGCTTTAATTTTAAATCATTAAACTACGGCCGTGTCCCAATCCGCTTCAAAACATTTGAAAACTACCGACCAATAAAATGACAGACCCAGTTTGTCAAGGTCACGTGTGACTAATAGAATGGCGGCTTCAGTTGGCCAAGGTCACGTGTTTCAAAAATGATAAGAACTGAAGTCGACACTCAATTGGAAACTCTTGCCACTGGTGTCACTTGACCTTAACTGGTTTTCACTCATTTCGACGGCTGAACGAGTTTTTGACTCAAAATCTAGAGATTTTTTTGCTAGTTGTTGAAAAGAAGTAGTAACATGTTATCAATTGAATGTCACCTTGTAATCAACTAACCTCTACTTGTTTCTTGAGCAATAAATAATGTAGCAGAAAGTGTTTTCGGAATCTCAAAGACAACTTATCGTTTTTTCAAGGAAAAAAGCAACATTTATCATTATCATAGATCAGATTTACCTATCGGAACTTGAGCGACTACTGGCATTTGGGACAATTTCACGTCAGTCCTTTTACCATCGCATCTACTACATGACATAGATGATTGATCCCTGACATGATTCGATTTCGCGGACTAATCAAATCGGAATTGGTGAATGCACTTGACAGCCAATCAGGAACAGCCGCAGTCAGACGCCCACCTAGTCCGTTGGGAATGAATCATTCTTGCGTCGGGCACACCCTTTGGAACGTTGACCGCCTGGACATAAACTAGGGCGAAATTACCACCGACCAAAGGGGACATATCGTGATTTTGCTGCATTTCTCGTGTCACAATTACGTGGTCCCTGGGACACAGGTTTAAAACTTGTGCTTGACGGAGGTTGGAAAAATACTCCCTCGATTGATGATGATTTACCAAAACAGTACGATAACCCTGGCTTACTCCAACCGCTACTACACGAGCTTGGAAATGCCAACCACACGAATTAGACGCGATGTATTTTCCTCTAAGCTTAGAAACAAGCACAAGGGGGCAGAGCCAGATTTTCAGATTAAAATAACCCTTCTCAATCACGGGATGATAGGTGGCTAGCTATAGAGGTTTCGGGTGTCGAAACGGACCACTTCAATGCCGGAACAATTGTATCCGTTTGGCAGCAGCGATTGCTCATTGCAACACAACCCAGATTAAGGACAAACCAGAGGCGGTGGTATAGAGAACTCGTGAAATTCGATCTCCCTGTTTTTAAAAAAAACATCCCGCCAAAAGACCGATTTTGGCAAAAGCCGAAATTTGGTGAAATCTAACCCTCAAGAACGAAAAATTGCAGATGCTATGTAGCAGATGAGATGGTTGAAAGGTATGACGTGAAATTGTCCTCATTTGATAGTTTAATTTAAGCAAATATAAGCCTTTTCATAGCCGGATACGCCACCATTCCTGTCTACACCTTGTCGCAATCTGAGGCCAATGGGGAGATGTAAAATGCGACAACGCAGGGTTGTTAGAAATCTGGCAATTTGATTGGTCTAAAGAGAGGTGTAATGACAAATGCTGCATTTTGCATTCAAAAAACCGCAAATAAGGTGCTTTCTCATATTCCGAAAACAATTTCTACCACATTGATATCTGGCAGTTTGGTGGTAGCCATGTTGGTATGTCTTCAGATGTGTCTTGGAGTTCTAATGAACACAGACCATGAGTTAACTCCGACGCCGCTTAGAATGTTCATAAGTGGATACCAACTTATTTATTTTTGGATTTGAGCAACATTAATTCAATAAATCAATAACTGTTCCTTTAGTGATCTCAGTACAGGAAAGCATTCTTGACGCTATTGCTTCGAGAAGACAAGATTGGCGTACTTAAGAGGCACCACGAAATTTCCCACTAAATGATTAGAGATGCAGGGAAAATGACATGAGAGAAGAGTGGGTCCATTCGTGGGAGGGATTGTGAAGCAGCCAAAGCACCGACTGATGGAGACGGTGACGATCTGGACGCGCAAAAACCACTGAAACAGCAACCCAGGCACCCTTGCCAGCCCCACCACTCACCAGGGGCTTCTAGAGCCGAAAATTTGCGGAAGTGGAAGTCTACAGGACGTACCATTTGATGTCGTCGTTGTGCCCGAGGTAATGACGCTGACTATGCTGCTCGATGTTGTAGAGGACCACAACCGCAGCCACAAAGTAGATCACTTCGCCGGTTGGCAGGAGGTAGACGTTGTTACGACAGTCTCTGCCACGGTAACCGTATCTACTCAACCAGTGAGTTAAGGATAGACGTGCATATCCATAACAGATGAATTCGTCCAATCGGAAGCCTTCATGATTGCCCTCCTAACACGTACTTTATGTTCCAAGAGTTTTCAGCCAGTAAAAGACCACGTATGGTGGGATAGGAATCTTCTTATGGTAGTAAGAAGATGTGCATAAGTTGGACACACGATTATGTAAGATAAACTCGTTCTAGGTGTGACTTTACTCCTAGACAGAGACGCTGATTCACACCGGTCAGAACTTGGTGATGAAGCGACAAACGAAATTGACTTAAAAGGTCATCGAAACAAGAAAGACAAGCGGGTAATGATGACAAATACTCTCCAAAATTTGCTTTCTTAAAAGACGAAACTGACTCTTTAGTTTTAAATTAATGGGAAGAATAAAGATACGAATTCGGTGACTTGGTGCATTCGAGAATTTCACAAGCCGTTGGCTGCATGACACCAAAGGAGATGAAAATTCAGGCACTATTTGGCTTAACCAGTCAAAACACGGGGTGTATCCGACTGCAGTGCAGAGAAATGCAAACTTGGAGTCTTTTATGAACGAGAATCGAGCAAAGGATACACCCATTCGAGTTTCAGCTGTTCTTCGGGTACGTCGAGAACCGCGGAAAAGTCGTAATCGCTGGCAACATCAGTTGGAGCGTAGAAATTGAGGCATCGGCCACGCAGATACGTCCTGAGAAGGCCTTCATCTAAATCGGAAAACAGCGAAAACAACCACAAACGTTACAGCTCGCCTGGGCCAAGATTGGCTCAGTATGGTAAAACGAGGAACCACTACGACTTCAGCAGGACGATTTAAACGAAGCTGCATTACACACACAGAGAAAGAGAGATGTATAATTAGATAGTGACCTCGGAGTTATTTGACCTAGCTGGCACGTCAGCAGAGCGTGTTTTGGCTTGAGAGAACACGGTGTAAGGTGAAATGTTAAGATGCAGAAAACGACGAATCGATAATGAGGTGAGCAACGAGGAGGTGGTGAAATGGCGGTGAAGATGAGAGCACAAGCTACCTTCAGTCTTGCCAGTTAGCTAGTGACTGCAAGAATCGGACTTTGGGAGGTGTGAGCTGAATCCCACGAAACAAGAGAAAAGAGGCATTCTGAGAATTGGGACATGTAAAACAAGTTGTGAGCTGAGTACGCAGCCGGATAACTCAGTGAATCCACTAAAGCAACCGCAATTTCGTGCACTAAATCGATTCGATGCGATGAAGATTTGCCGCAAACGAGTTAGCGACGCTATCTCGACACTTGGCAAAACGGCAATTCCCCATGGCCTGCTGAAGGCTTACTTTGGTGTTGTGCTTCGCGTTGCCAGAGTAACTGACGAAAACAGAGAATCGACAGCAAAACCACAGTGGCATAGGACCCCAGAAGGTTAATACAAAGTACCAGGATCGCATGCATAGACGACCTGACTTAATCCAGGTTTAAACGACTTGGCAAGGGGATTTGATGGAAGAGGACTGCATTTTAGTTTGGTTGTCGAAATACCCCAACGGGGTGATTGTGTCGATTCAGAGAAGGGATCTGCTTTAGTGTAAAGTGACACCAAACTGTTGATCAAATGGCCTTATTTACTGTGAAGACAGAAGTGGCTTTGTGTTCACTAAAAAACCAGCAAAAAACATTGGCGCCTGAGTTTGGATATAAGGAGACACATTGTGACAAAAAGATGATTAATAGGGTGGTTATCTGGCATGTTAAGCCTCCGAGACATACTCCCTGAACAGAGGTCTCTTTGTTTATTTCATTCCTGAACACCCTCGGAAACCTAACCTTCCAGGAATTCGTTCATTCCTCCCAAGAAACTAGCAGCATTTTTTGCCACGCCAGCTATAATCCAAGTACTTCTGTAAACACACAAACCGAGAAATTTGGGTACTTAAAGTGAGAAGATACACATTACTAACATGAAGCGTTAATGTGGATCTTCGGAAATGTTTTAAGAGTAAAAAAGTAGCATGATCGACTGTCTGAGCGTACCCACAATTAGCCAATCGGGTGTTAGCACGTCCAGACAACTGTCTGGAAAAGTGGCGCTGTTTGTTGGATGCGCGTGCAAATGATGGTCCACACAGAGATAATTATCGCGAAGTGAATCGGGAACAAACCAATCGCGTAATTTAGACGTCGCTTGGTGCGTCGTTGCTGTGAGGCGATTTTGGCGATTCTAAGGCGAATGCCTCCAGCCTCATTTGACGAATAGCTGATTCACAGCAGTCTCGTGGTGGGAGATTAGCAAAAGACATCGAAATGAACCAACTTCCGCTCTACTTCCCTAGGTGCCGCTGCTAACATGCCTACACTATCTATCAGTAACAGCTACAAAGATGCTCAAATTTAAGTATTCAACGAGGGCCACTGTGTTCGCGATGCATATGTGGGGTCACTGTGGAATTATCGTCGACTTCATGCATTACTTCGACAACAGAGAATGTTGGCGACTGAAATGCTGCTTTAGTAAATACAGATTTCATGACTATCTTTCAGGGGAAAGTGTTTTTGAGGAATTAATCTCCGTCCGTTATTAGGTCAAAATGTGTAATCCACATTTTTTCTCCTTGGTTTCGACAGTCTAATTAATAGGGGACCAGAATGGACAGTGGAAAACAATTTGGGAGCATGGATTTGGCAAAAGACGGGGTCCAATAGCACTACAAAACTTCTAAGAGGGTTCCAAGAGGACACGACTGACACCAAAGGGGCCCACCCGTTAAGTAGTTGTGGCAAATCGACTTGGACGCCACGGGGCTTCTAAAAAATAGTCCAAATCACCGTGAGTTGGCATAGAAAACCGGTTGGGGAGGCAGTTTTTCATGGATGAGATACTGCTGTGTGTGGATGGTATTCACGGCAATGCCAAGCTTTAAACATCTATACTCTCAGTGATATGATTAATTAGCTAGCCGTGAAGGTCCACAGCCAGTACAATAACCGTCACGTAATAAAACGGCCCACTGAAGCCCCTAAACGCTCGCAATGAAGTCGCACAAATTCCACCTTGCCCAGTTATTAGCTGGAGCGATATGTCACGTGATTTCGCCCGCCACGGGGCTATACTGTCGTGATTTGACGGAGGGTGGGGCAGTACTGGCTTCTCACGTCAGCGTGCGAATTCGCTCCCAGGGCCATTGGAAGACACTACCAGAACAACCTCGTCGTCACTACCACCGGTGTTGAGTTGCAACCGAAAACGAGCATGACTCACCCCGTGACAGGCGTAATTCCAACACGAAGCACCAGACACGTCGACGCTAACAAAAGGTCACGCCACAGACACGCACGTACACGCACGTAGACACGCGCGCACACGCAAGAATGGCGGTGCGCCGAACCAAGGCAGGATTTTGACACATAGACAATTGATTCACGAAAAACGAGCAGTAACCGACAAGGCCGAGGCTTCGCCCTCAATGTGAACTTTCCTCTCCCTCGACACATCGGTAAAATCAGCCGTTTTCCCTGTACGCAAAGAGACACTTGTACACAAGTGCGCCTAGCTTCTGACTTTCTACAATCGGTGACCGTAACGTGACCACCTAACAGAAAACTGCTGAAACAACTGTTTTAAAACTCGCATTTTGTGACTTTATAAGAAGCCGGATAAGTTTCTGCGGTGTCTTCGAAGACCTTAGACCGGTTTAAACCGGCTAGATGAGCTTCGACAGTCAATAGGCGGTCCATCAAGTGCGCAACTTAATGTTGGCTAAAGTTGAGGAGTGTTGTGGAGTGGGTTTTTGGAATCTGACAAGTACACGCACACAAAGCTAAGGAAACATGATCCGGGTGACAAAGGTCGATTGCTCTTTGATGGATCTACGAGCCTGGAACGTAAGGGTAACTTCAAAAACAACGGAAGGAGGCATGTTGTGAGACAAATGAGATACGATTTGCCTCAGACACGACAAAACCGCATAAACGAAGATCTTACCAAAATTGTACTAATACGATTTAGGGTGCAGCTTTCGGTGGAAAGTCACAGTGGTTAAACTGACAAGAAGAAAAGTGGCACGTACCTCTCAAGTAGGTGGGTTCGCGAGATCTGAAAGAGAGGAAGAGGAGGGAGTGGTGAGGTGGGGGTAAAAACGACTCGATCGATTGAACACCAACCCCACAAACCCAGCCCACTTGCCAATCGATTAGGTGGGAAAGAGTGAGTGAAAAACAAGACACTACTGGGTGAAATAAGGGGGAGGGGGTTGGGAAAGAAAGGACGGAGGGGTAGTGAGTGGGAAGAGGCCGAAACGCATCCGCCACCTCAATTCATCGCGCATTCGACTACAACTTGCAGGTGACGAGGCCTTGGTGAAATCACGGGTGAGCTAGGGGCATCGTGCTGGACTGCCCCCGCCGGACGCCAAATTGGCGCGGATTTGCGCCTCGATCGAAGGCTCTGGGGGGTGTGGCGGGTTGCAGCCATGGTGACGTTTCGACGAGGAAATGTGGTCCTCTGGTGAACGACGTGTGGAGTGCCAGGAAGGCCGTACACGGTAATCCAAGTGGACGGTTCCGACGGATCTTCGGAATCAAGATCCCAATTAACTGAGTTTAGCGTGGAGGCACGCTTTCGTGGTCTGTATGAATCGTGAAGACTGGATAAAAAGCCACTTTTGGTGGAATTTAATCGAGTCACAAGATTAACATCAACTCTAATAGAGCATAACCACTACGACAGAGATGGATGCACCACCCAGATAAGACACTGACCCAGATTTCGACGAGCTGGTCGGGGGTCGAGCCAGAGTTCCTGAGCCCGAAGACCCTCCGACCTTCAGACCAGGTGCAGCAGCGGAGGAGGGCGATGGAAGGCCGACGTTGGTCGTGGTTCTGAGGGAGACCTGAGAGGGTGGACGTTTGGACGCACTGGACATCGTCGAGGCCGCGGGCAGCCGGGGCATGTGTCTTGTCTGCCTGCCCGTGGGATAGGGCGTTGGCCCGGAGGGCATCTTGCCAGCTACAAGAGGGGCTACGCTCGCATTACACGTCACACGCACCCACACACACAACACGACGCCAAGCAAACATGCTAGTTTAACGACACCAACGCGTAGTGGTCGATGCAAGTGAATGAATTCACAACAAAGTTAATATGAGTAACAACAATGAGCAAGTAGACATGTCGAAAACCACCGCGTTCTGCAGCGTTCTGCAGTCGCAGAAGACGCGACTGACATTGGTTAAAGCTGTTTCACATTGTACCTGACATGCAACACCACCGTGGATGCGTTCGTACGTGTTAGGATTAGGAAAGGCTGTAGAATAACGCACAGTCGGGTTATAGAACGGAGTTGTACTGTCGAAAATAACGTTGGCAACCGCCAATTCTGCATTTTTGTCGAATTGCGTTATCAATAAAAGAACGGACTGCAATTAGAGCTAAAAAATACAGAGCATTTTGTTTCATTATCGGAGATCTAACAATTTTGGAGAACTAAATCATCCCAAAATTTTGGTGTGGCGGGGGGGTCGATTACCGAGGCAAAATGCGTTACATTGGCGCCCCGTTAACCAATTGGAATGAGAGTTCAAGGTCGCGCCAACGCGGTGCGCTCGAATGGCTAAGAAAGATTGCTGCTAGTGCAAAAACGAGATTGAGAACATGCAAATTTTACTAATTACTTAGCAAGACTACAAAGAACACGTCGATTGTGTTGGCCCACGACTGTGAATCTGCTTTTTCGTGGAATTGGCAAAAAATACAGGTAGAAATATATGCAATATTTGGGGTTTAGGAAAAAACCAAAATGTTTTTGCAGTTCTTTGATTCACGCGCGTATTTAAGGTTGTGTCGCTTGCAACCGACCCCACTAATGTAACAGTAAAATCGGTCTTTATTGCGGATAATTGAAGTGTCAAATGTGTTACTAGAGGTAGATCTAACAGAGATAATTCCAAAATACCCCCCAATACAATTGTAAAAGAAGCAAAGCGAATGAGTGCTTCACCATCACTAGAAGTGCTCTGTTGTTAAGGATGGAATTCATTCGCGGATCAACGCTAAAACAGGAACGGCTAATCGCATAGCTGGAAGCAGTTACAGAGAATCAACAACAATCTACTTCAAAAAGTCGCAGAACCGCAACGAAATTACACTCTTCAGGCCTAGCTACTTGGAGTATCCGCTTTGAAACTGACGACAAAAACGAGGAAGGTCGCAATCCAATAGGGGTTTCGACAGGCAAGTAGTCTGGATTTTAGAGAGCATGCAGGGGATCATTCGAGTCGCGACAAACGTAGTCCAGATAGGAATAACTACGGGAAAAGTGTATGCTCAAACAAGCTGGCGTGGGACCTGAAATGAATGATGTAATGAACAAAATTTCGTCACGCCTTTTTTAACACCCTACACTACTCTCGAAGGGATGAAGAGTGAGACATAGCCGGCATAATTCATAGAAGTGACCTGGTGGGGGGCGGAGGGTTACCGAACACATCGAACCAACGACAACAATTCCAGCCAGGTTTCCTAGATGCTGCTTCCAATTCACACGAAGTTGTCTGTGGAAGCAACCAGACTTGTGCAAGCATTACCAACTTAGAGGTAACAACACGTCTAATTAGTTCATTGAATAACTCTCAAGTCAACCATTAATCGCCAGGAATCCACTAAGGTGTGCATGTGCAAGCTTCCAACGAGGCGACTGTGTTTACGATGCGTGGGTGGAAATACAACAAACAACTATCCACAGGAGTGCTGGCAAAAATCGGCACCTAGACGGTGAGTGATCGAGCCTCATCGAAATGGTAAACATCGCTGCATTACCCACAAAATGACCTAGACATGAACACCTGAGAAGGTGCTGTCAGCCTTTACGACAGCATGCCACTTGCGTATTAAACTGCTCCAATGAAGTTCTCCAATTTGGCCAACCGAATCTTCGAATTAATGAGATTACCTTGTTAAAATATTGCATTACCACACAAACAAGAGGATAGGTTACGTTAGTAGAAAGTAATCTGCTTAGTGACTGGATTACGTGCAACGCGAGGTGAGGATTAGCAGGAGGTGGCGATACGTGCACAGTCCAACATAAGCAGGCATGCAGGAACATAGGAGAAAGGAATGCCGATGAATTACAACAAAATACAACAACACAGGGCGCTAAAGAGGGAGGGGAAAAAGGCAGGAATGAGTATTTGCCGATGACGAAGCAGTTTGTGGATTCTTTCACTGCCAGCCACCCTAAACACTGCGCAAAAAAACTAACCGAAATAGCTTCGGAAGTTTCTGGCGATAAACAAGCATCGGTAAACGAGGCATGTCACCATGGTAATTCCGTTGAAGTAAAAAACAAAGGCGCGAATTCAAAACTGCGTGCCTTTCAACATTCAAGTGCCCAATTATTACAAAAACGTTTAAGTTTTTGGATACATTGGCAAGACGAGAAGCAAATGTGTCTACAAAACACAATATCTACTTGTGACCTCGTCTTTTTACGTTCACAATCCACCGTGTGAATGCATTTTGGAGCATTGTCCAAAACCGGAAGAAACGCTCACTAACTGGGCTTTGTTACCCGTTTGAGTAAATTTCCAAGACGAGAGAAAAAGGAGTCGCTCAAAATCGTTAATATCCCCTCTACGCATTACAGATGACGCATTGCTTGCTGAATACTGCGATTGTGGACTTGTCAGTCGTCCATACAAGATTCAAACACCTTGCTTTCCACGTGGGTCTTGTGGACGCCGTTCGACAGCAGCGATCCACATCACACCGACGTGTGTAGCTGTTGGTTCAAGCATTGCAAAGCTTCTATTTCATACGTAGAACCTAATTCCGGAGGCATAGTGCTTCTCACTGAGTGTTGCAACCTCAGACAATACAATTTGGGCATTTTAGAGAAGGGTGATTGTTTTATCACATTAGGACTTTGCTCATTACCTGGAGGCTAGGTTAAGCAACAAAATAAACCGAAGAGAGATAACCATCAATATTGCGTGAGTGTTTGGGTGGGTGTGTGTAAATCTGCTCGCGATAACACACACACACACACACACACGTACAATTACGCTGAGAATAGGCGTTAAAACACGGCTCCGATTACACCCTGCCAAACGAGTTGCCGCCAGAATAGGAGGCAACAGCGCAGGTAACTGTGGCCTTTGTATTGCCGCGTTTGCGGTATTGGCAGAAATATTGAGAAAAAAACACCGCATATCTGGGAATATTCGTGAGTGCAGATGTACGCAGCTAGACCAGTTGTTTTTTACTTCGGCATGTTGATGTTTACTGTCTGAGTCACACAAACGATAGTACTTAGTTATTAGAATAATGGGTTTCAAGACTGCGCTACTTAAAGCGCAGGGTATTTTAGAACAGCAGAAATAAATTGGAAGTGATTTTAGAGTCCCCTAATAATTAATTTCGAGGTAAATACATTTGGCCAAACAACTACGCACTCCTATTAATAGTAAAGTGACGAAAATTACAGTGGTATGCTGTGAACTCCAAGTCAAACAGACAGAAACATGATCGTAGATACTCTCCTTACAGACATGAACTCCAAACAGCATAAATGGCATTCACATAAACATAAACTATGCTACTGCGCCGGATAAAGTGGAAATGGATTGGGACAACAATTACCTCTGCTTTCACTGGCTGTTCGAGAAGCAGTCGTGCGCCGAGACGGTGAATGCGTACCTCGAGAGGTTTCAAGCACCTGCACCCGGCGGAGGCAGTCAGCGAGGGCACTCTTTAGGCACGTGAGCTCCTCTGCCTGGTCCGTTGTCTGCTTCTCGAGGTAAGCGACTCGTTCCATCAACTCGTCCCTTTCGGCTGTCATCAGTCCGTCTAAAAAGCCAACAAAAACTACCACATAAGAGAGCGACGACTTAGGCACAAAAATCGAGTTGATATTGTTTAGGAGGGACCCAGAAGAACTGTGGATGGTTAAGAGCCAACCAATGTAAAGACCACCTGTCTTTTCGTTTAGTCGAGTGTTTATAAAGACAAAATATTTCAGCCCTCAGTGACCACTAATTTTTAGGAAATCTCATTAGTAAGATGACACCATGTCGGGTAGAAAAATAGATTCTGTCTCGTGCATGGATGATATGAAAGGACCACATCCAAATGCGCAACAAACATTAAACTACCAGCATCAGTGTAGTAAAAAACGGTTGTGTCTCGTCATGCCATCATTTTACCACCTCCAGGAAACCCTGATGGTGTAAGAATTAAGTATATTATCCAATTAAAATTAAACTTCAACACCGTCAATTGCCATAACAATAGACAGGAGTCCAGGGAGCATTTTAAGGCTATGTGGTGCAAGTGTTTCGCAAAATCCAAATTGAAATTGAGTGATTAGACTTTTGGCAATGAATTACAGAGAGATTAAACCAAGCATAGATTTTAATCGATTCATTTCAAATAAGTTGCAAGACTAATGTTAATCTCTATATTTAGCCTGGAAAAGAATTGGTGAGAGCATCGTCTAGCTTGTAGAATAAAGTATCCAGTTAAGACAATCTAAAAGAACAAAGCTCAAATTTCTGAACATAAGAAATGGTGCAATTAACCAAAAAAACTAAGATGAAATAAATAACAAAGCTTCAGGTGATAAATTAGAACAAAGTGGCAAGTCAAAATTAATTTCGAATAATTGCATTGGAAATTTTCTCGCAAACTAAATAAAAAAGCTTATTGTTCTTTTACTATTCAAGTGCCTGAAATATCGTATATTATGGGCAATCTAAACAATAGCAGGTTCCATAAGATAAGTAGGAACCTGAACCCAGGAGAAAACACCAACATAACATAAGATATCCACACAAAAGCGAATAAATGATAGAAATTGAGGAAATGAGACGTAGGATTAGCTTTACGAGGAGTTTCCAAAAACAAAATACGCATGACCGAAGCATGTGGAGATGGATCAGGTAAAAAGATATCAAGTGACAATGAATTAATGAAACAGCTATGTTTTGAGGTAGATTAAAGCAAATTAGTCAACAAGGTGGACTTACCAAGACCTGCGCCTCCGTTTGACATCGCAACCAAAAAATGATCAGATGGGCGAATTAGACGAATTGACTTGGTACGAGAAATAACCTTGAGGTGACTTACAAAATAAGATTACATAACTTCGACACGAAAATTAATGAATTGTCAACGTAATAGAGCCCATTAAGCAGATATAAGTTATTTATTTAATTATTTCTATTTAAAAATAGTTTGCTTATCAAATAAAAAAAATTGTCGGTTGAAATGCTTATTCATAGAGTTAAAATATTTTGCTATAACTTGAATGTTAAATCTGCAGATTGACCTCAAATGTCTTTTATTCTATTAAATTTTTTTGTTGGACTTTTTTATGCATAGAATGGACTAACTTTGATACATATTAAGGAAAAATTTACGGTTTTAAATACTGAAACATCTGAAAAGCAGAGAAATTCACTTTATTAACAGCAGTTGACTTCAAGTCTATTGTTCAATACACAGATAGTACAGATTTATATGGTCATTTCGATGGTAGAATTTCATTAGTGCGTAGATTGTTTTGCGAGTTTCGCAATTATGCGGAGTGAAAAAGTAACTCCCTTTACCGCAACAGCGAATGACACATATGCCCTTAGATCTACGGCTGCATAAAAACATTTTTCCCTAAACTTAAAAATTGGTTATTGGGCTGTAGTATAATAAATAGGCACTTAATAAAAATTTTCTTACTCTAATGAATACCGTCAGACACCATGGCTTCAAAAGTGCTTGCACTATTGAATTTGAAATCACTTTAAAAACCATAAATGGGCCTTAAATGCTTGGTATTAATTGTTTAGACATAACAGCAGGTTTCTTACTGGTAAATCGCTTGAAAATGTCTGTTTTTATGATATAGTCTTGAGGCTTAATCACTGAGCGTTTCGGACTACATATTTCATTATATAATAGATGGACATATTTTTAACTGACTAGAGACTTGAATCAAGTTTACTCACAAACTGAACTGCACAATATTCCTTAAAAATCTTCCAAGAAAATCTGAGAAAATCTCAGCATTTTTTTCAAAATAGAAAACGAAATGAAAGCATTAATAAGTATAACTTAACTATGCTTATAAAAATTCTGCAAAACAACTTTGAATGAAAATGGAATTAAACCATTTCGAAATCGTAGGTGGAATTGGCGGCCATCTGGAGTTGATCAAAATACCATAAGCGTGACTTAATTAATATCTAATCCGTAGATGCCTGTACATAATTGACGGAGTATTGGGTCTAGACCATGATGAATGATATTCTAAGTTTTTTTAATGCTCTAATCTTAACGAGTTGGGTGTTAGATGCAACGGATTTTTTAACTGATTGAAAATATAAGATTCAATCAGTTAAAAATTTGTTTTCTATTTTAAAAATTAGCATAGGTTTGTATATTAGGTTGCATATGTTTTAAACCTAAACGGTATTTTTAATGTTTCAGCTATGTTTAGCATTTTTTGTTTAATGAGTTGTCTAATTTTGCGCATAAGTTGAAAAGATGAAGTTGGCTGCGGTGTTGTTTTTTCTCATCACTTTTTGCTTTGGTTTTATTTCGTCTCGCCGACACACTCTAATTCTTAAAGTACGCCTAATATTTAATAGTAATGTGATGCATAGAATGATGTTCGCTCTGATATTCTGTGTAGCCGGTTTACTTATGGCTCTCAGGGGTCGATCTCTGTTGGTATTTCGAATCTCCCGGAAAAAGACTTAGAAATGGTACGTGGTTTACTTTAGAGACTGCTTTTTAAGCAGTTTGACTGACGCAGTTTTCTCCGACCGTCAATTATTATTATCTTGTACATTCATGACGTGGCTTCCGTTAGTTCGCAAAATCTCGTCCTTTTTGCCAAATTCAGTCAAGATCGCTAAACGTAATTTGTTCCCGAATGCATATAAATATCTATTGCAAAGCTAGCCAAATATTTCCCTTAGATCCAGAAATTTCGTCATCCCAAGGCTTGAATGTGAAAATATAGGCCAAGATTGAATCTAGTAACTCAGGATAAATTATTTGTAACCTTTCTATTCTGGGCTCTCAAGTCTTTCGTGTTTACTGTCGACTTCTTGCTGTATGGAGGGCGAAATCCCACGGCAGTTACTAGTGTTAGCATATAATTATCGGTGGTTTTTAAATTCCGTTTATCGCCTTACTTCTGCGATCTGTCGCCAAAACTTTAATCTACCATTAGCTTGTTTCGCTATACACGTGAATTTTTTTCCGATTATTCTGTGTTTGGTTTCTTTTTGTAAGGTCGGATTTTCGATGGAAAAGTCTACATTCAGTAATCTCGTGGAATCATCAGTATGTGGCCATTTACGTAATAATTCGCACCTTTAGAAGCGACAGTATAATCCTTGTTCGCTCAGACAAGACAACGACAAGCGGGCTTTTGCTCTAATTTTAGATAAAAAGGCGTGAGTTATTGGGAATTTTAATTACTGACATAATTTTTGATATGTTTACGTTCAACTTTTACACAACACATTTTAGTCCAGTGTTAAAGAATCCCTCAAGCCAATCTATCCAGGTCCGTCCCAAAAACACAGTCAACGCGTCCCAGTTCACTTTTCGCAATGCGGAAGATGAGAAGTCCTTCAGTTCGTTTAAGATCGAAATTTCGAACTTTGTGACGGAATATCTTGACACAAATGCCAAAGACGTCGAGACTGTTGCCGAAGAAATAGTCAAAGTGAGTTTCTTGCAAAAGTTCTTTAGATACCTATTCTCCCTAGAGCATATTTGCTAAGAATATCTCATGAAATGTAACCTATTTTTCGAGGTTGTCATATACTGGGAGCATCCCTGTAGGCCTGGTTCTCATTTATCGATTACTTGGCTTTTTATGCGAAAGCTTGGAGAAATGGAGCATCATTTGGGTTGTTTTTGAAACCCACTACTCTTTTTATAGGCTATAACATCCAATGACGCTCTGCGCCAGGAAGTGATTAACAAAATCAAAGAGAGCTCGTCCACTGAGCTGGCAGTTCGTGCGACACTACTGCACCTTCAGGCGCTGGAAGATGGGGATGAGGAGGGTGATTTGCAGCTCCATCGAATTCGCAGGGGTGCTCCTCAAGACCCCTCGAGAGTAGAGAAGCCTGATAATCCCAAGGAGGTTAAAAAGGCCCCAGAAGGCGACGCATCGAAAAAGAAGTTAGCTGCTGGAAACTCCAAAAAGGAATCTGGCATTGAGCAACCAATCGTTGAATCGGACGAAAAGCCCGAAGGTGCCGATGCACGAGATCAAGCGCAGGAGGGTCCGGCTGCGGATTTGCCCGAGTCTGATCAGGGTGGCAATGGCGACTCCAAAAAGGATTCTGGCATTCAGCAACCAATTGCCGATTCGAACCAGAAGCCGGAAGGTGCCAAGGCACCGGGTCAAGCGAAGGAGGGTCTGGCCGCGGATTTGCCCAAGCCTGATCAGGGTGGTGATGGCGTATTGGAGAAGCCGGATAAGTCGGGTCAAGAATCTGCCGATGGTGATGCTATTAAGAAAGACCAGCCTGATAAAGTACCGCGTTTCTCGGCTATCGCTGTGGAATATATGACTAAGGCGTTAGACGGCTTCAGTGAGCACATTTCTAATCTCTTCTCTTCAGTTCAATGTGTATCTCTTTTAACGTTGTGTTAGAGAGTGTGCTACTCTGTCTGCCGCCAAAAAAGGCAACTCAGCGCTTCTGAATGCCATCGTTTGGTAAACAACGTGGTTGTTACTGTATGTGGCACATCAAAACTACATGTTTTTTTTGGCTGCGGAAAATTTTTCTGTGTCTTCAATCCGTCTGCGAGTCTTGATTCGTCCAAACGCGCAAATCCGATTCCTTTCACGTGTAACCTTGATTTCGTGTTTGGATAAAAAAACGTCAGAAGGTAGGATCAGAATCCACTTAGTCATTTTATGGGTCTTAATATGACGTCTCTTGCACAACAGTGATTTGTGTCTTAACGACAGATAAACCCGTTTCCATCGTTACAGTATCATCGAGCTCATTCTGCTACCCACTGCTGCAACTTGTGAATGTGCGGACCGCGGGACGTTGATGCTTTTTGCTAGACTCAGTGCTTAACCACCACAAAGTGCGAAATTGCCTTCTCCACTTGACTGACCTCTAACCACGCATTTTCGTGTGCATTTTCCTAGATAAGGCTCAAGGACAAGACAGATTTCGCTATGTCTTCTCAAATGGAATGGCTTCCCTGAATGTAAGTTGTGCTGGATTAACTTGTTCAGTCCTCTCAGCTGTTTTTTTTTCAAACGGAAATCAAGCACGAAACACAATTGGCTGCATCAGGCCTGTGCTGGGTTCGCCATCGATGAACCTGGTTATATCTTCGAAAACCTTCCTGGAACCAGGATAGTGGCTAGTAATCCTAATTTTCCCCAAGCAGACGACAATTCGGCTTCCTGATCACAGTCTTGCATTGCATTTGAGGTTGCCTTATCAGCTTATTTGCACCCTTCTCCTGATTGGCTAATCAGACAGCCAATCAGGTCGTGGCCCTGCGGGCACACAGTCAGCTTAAAAACCAATTTGAGGACCCAAAAACAAGCTGGCTTTTGATCCATATAATCCGGGACACTGCCATCTCATCTGCTTTTATTCTTCTCAGTTCACCGTCACATTCACAGAGCCCGGCGTGACCGCCTCGTACGACCTGCTATTCCACAACTGTCTCAATGGCCCCGTCAATGCAAAGGTGAGTAATGTTTTTCTTTTTAACCAGCCCTCAAATTGCTTGCGAGTCTAAGCCCCTTTCTGTCCATCTACCTTTGATTTTACCGCCTCAGATAACAATGGTGGAAAAGAACAACGACAACTACCTCTCCTTGGGGGAACAGCCGCTAGCCCTCTTGTTCGGCATCTTCGCCATTATCTACGCCCTTCTCTCTGTCGTCTGGGGTTTGCACCTGAAGATGTCAAAGTAGGTGTCTAGGCAGCCCCTGTACAATGAAACAGTCAAATCAGAGTCGCAACCCCTCATAATTGTTTCCCTCTTGTAGGGCCCCAGTCTTCCGTATTCACTCCCTCATGCTAGCGGTCGTGATTGTCAAGTCAATCTCCCTCATACTGCATTCGGTAGGTGCTGTTTTTGTCAGTATGTCAGTCATTCCCCAAACAATCAGGGTGTCTACACTGCTCGATTTGTCACCAAAATGACATGCTCACATCGATTTTGCGTCGTTTGTGTGTGTGTGTGTGTGTCTGTGCCGATTCTGTGCGTCGGCTAGCTAATTTTGTCGTCGCTATGACTCGGCATGACAATTACTTCCTTTCTGTGGTGCTTTCCAGTGGAGAACTTTTCATGTCAAGCATGTTATCACATCTTTATGACTGTGCTGGCAGTAGGGCGCTCTTGTTTAACTTACTTTGACCTCTAAGTAACTTTCGAATGGCAGTGTGACCACCCACCTTGTGTGGGTTCCGCTCAAGACATGAATCTTGATCTCTGATGCGGTCTACTCTGAATTCGCCACGTGCTGTTGGTGCAAACTGCTGCGCACTTCTCAAAATGACCTTGGCTACCATGGCGGTAGGAGGTCGATGTCTTCTGAAGTGCTTCTCCACGAAAAATGCGTTTATCTTGAGCGCAGAACCGTCGAGTGCTAAGTCGAGGTTGGTTTTAGCCAATAGGAACGAATCTTGCTGTGGGGGCGTTGTCAAGGGGTTCGCACGAACTCCTGCCACCTAAACTGAGTTTGTATGGTGCGTTGAGGCGCTTCGTGAACGAGGCCCATTCTACGGCTGGAAGCGTCGATGACGTGGCACAACGACGTGGACCTAACAGCCCACTCCACAGTGCACACGTTTGTTTGTCACACAACGCGCACACTCGCGCGTCTTTCATGTGGCTGTGTCGTTTGTGGTACCATGCACTTCATTTGCGTCCTTGTCCCTAGGTTTGTACTCGTTGTTTTTTTGTTTAGATCAACTACTACGTGATTGGAAAACATGGTGTTCAGGAGGAGGGATGGGCCGTAATGTACTACATCGCTCACATGTGAGTCTTCTTGACTGAAATGTTGTCTGCCACACCTAATTAAGCATGTCACCCGTTAATGCATAATTCCTTGGTTTGTTTTGACGACTTTGTAAGAAATTAGGATAGATCAGTCAGGTATTTAGGATTTGTCATCATCAATACCAATTTTCCCCGTCGCGGTACCCATTTATTGATCGCAGAGGCGTTATGACAGACGCTTATTGCCAGCGACCTCGCCTTTGGCATGGAAGGCTCGAATTTTTATTGGCACTGCCTCATGGATCCTAAGTAGACGATGCGTCGCGACGGTCCACTCAGTGTAGGTTCAAAAGCTGGGGCGTTGGTGAAATGTTGATGAACCTTTTTTGCCTCCTCCTCATCGCCACATCTGGCACAGCTGTGTACTTTCGTCTGAATATCTTCGATGTAGTGTGGGGGAGCTTTGGCCCGTTGAAAGAAGCTCCGTGGTCATTCCAAGGGAGGCTCTGAAGTTCGCTGAGGCTCGAATTCGTCTGCTTCCAGTGAAAGGGGAGTTATACGATGCCCAGCGTCTTCAACCAATCCAATTGGAGGAAAATTGCATGGCGTTTCTGCTGTGCCGTCACTACTCCTATTTCATGTGTGCGGCTGTCTCTGCAATTTCAGCATAGTGGATATTTGTTGAGTGCGTCGTCAATTCCAGTCAAGGTGATCGACTTGCATTGAGAAGAGAATAGTTAGGTGGACAGACGAGGTGGCAGTTAGTGGGTGCTAGAAGTACCAGTCCCCTGAAAGTCGTGTTTGACACTTTCGCTGGTGTGTTCGACTTCACTTGTGCCTTCCGACCCAGTATTGTAGTCTGAGTTGAACGTGGCGTTGTAGCATCCCCTGGGATGTCCAACCGAAGTTCTGCATGATTTCGCCAGGTGAGAATGATGTGATGACCTTGAGTGTGAAGTCGTGTGTGGTCGTGTGATGCTGAATAGTTGTGACTCTGTGCCGTGAATTCCTGCTTCGTGATGCGTTGAACCATCGTTTGAAACCCTGTAATGCGGCTTTTAGTCGTCCAAAGTAGTTGTGTGGACGCAATCAGTGTTTCTTCATTGTGCCCAAATTTCGTGAACGCGAGGCCAAATTCGCTGCAGTCGTTCTTGTTCTAAGAAACACGTCTTGATGATTCTTGGTAAGGCTCGTTGATTTGATGCTGGATGGACGTGGTGATTGACGTCCACGAAGGATCTGTTTGATTGCCAGCGTCGATGGATGAACCAGCTCTTAATCAGAAACATCCGTCAGGTACATCGAACCAAGTTAACCGTCTAAATGTCGCAAATAACCTGTTGAATCTTGAGTGCAATCCTCAGATATATCGATAATCTTTGTAAAATTTATAAAAGAAACGTGAGTAGTACACATCGAGGTTCAATGTTGCCATCATAAGTCCCGCCGTTAATCTGATTGGCTGACCGGCTGGCTCTGTGGTGCTATTGGCTAGCTGTCTTAATTACAAAGTCATTCATTGATTAACTCGTCTTTACTTAGAACACCGGCTACGGCGCTCACCTGGCAGCTGCCTGCCGATATTCAACGTCTGAATGTCACAAATAATCTGTTGAATCTTGCATGCAAGCCCGAGTTGTAAATCAAGGCGTTCTCCAGTCGGGAGACGTAACTTAACGCGACATTTCGTCCATTTTTCGCTATTAAAGTTCCCGTTTCTGCCTTTTAGCACCCGTGGATTTCTGCTGTTTTTCACGATTCTCATGATCGGTGCCGGCTGGACGCTAATAAAGCACGTTTTTACGCGCCGAGAGAAGCAGGTCTTTCTCATCGTCATTCCCCTACAGGTGGGTACTCTCCTTCCCTGACTCCCCTTATCAATCATGCTCCTCGCTCCAGGCTTTTGTTTGATCGGTTTCCGGGCTGTGACTCATCGCCCGAAGGCTTCTCAACGCCTTTCAAAGACGTCGTAAGCATGCCTGACATTGGCATCACTTTGATTCTTCTTAGACGATTCGATTTGTGGATGTTCTACCAAGTGAACATCCACAACCAATGTCAATTCTGCGTTCAATTTCGTGCATCTAGTGTGTCACCTTGATGGACATTGGGTCTTTTTCCTTCGTTGTGCTGAAAATCCTTCCACTTGGGATCGTGCTGTCTAGATTTCACCCTGTCTTCCTCCCCCTTTTCGCTAACACAGGTCTTCGCCAACATTGCCACCATCGTGGTGAACGAAACAGAGCAAGGGGCTCCAGGAATCGCCAAGTGGAGCGAGATATTCACCGCCGTGGACCTGCTCTGCTGCGCCGGCGTTCTCTTCCCCGTTATCTGGTCCATTCGCCACCTCCGCCAGGCTGCTCAAACCGACGGCAAAGTCGCCCAGAACCTCCGCAAATTGCGACTTTTCAGACACTTCTACATTTTGGTAAGCGACTTCATCTGCTGCAGTCGCGTCTTAAATTGATCGAGTGTAGCAGCTTCGGACGTGTTTCCACGTACCTTTGCGTTCCAGGTTGTTAGCTACATATACTTCACGAGGATTGTCGTCTACCTGCTGCGAATAACCACGCCATTCGGTTGGTATTGGCTTGTGGATCTCTTCGAACAGACCGTGACGTTGATCTTCTACACATCGGTGGGATTCAGGTTCCGTCCCTTCAGCGACAATCCCTACCTCCAGGTGCCAACAGACGAAGACGAGGACATCGTCATGGGACGATTTGATCTGGAGGAGGCGTAAGTCCGATTTGCGTTGGCTTTCAGTCGATAGCTTGGGGGTACTTGACTAAATTATCGATTTTCCCCCTGATTAGCTGGGCCCAGTCGGGTTTGACGGACGGGGTCACGCGCATCCACCGACCGCAGGGGATTGACGCGGCGCGCGAGAATCGACGTAGACGCGACGACGCGCTTAATCGACCGCTTGGCAACGATAAGGAAGCCGATGACTCGGATCTGTTGCCTCTGATTCGACCGTAAATGCCAACGTGCCTCAAAAGACTTCTCGAACGATAGCCACTCCCCTGCTGCTGTAACACCTTTGACGACTCCCTTGAATGCCTTTATTGGTAGAAATAAACACCAACTTTTTATGTAGACACTGGCGGTGGTTAAACTACGCAAACTTCACACGTGTGCCAGTATAATGAGCTTGTGGTATTCGAACGATTTTCGCAAGTCTCTCAAACCTTGCACTCACATGATCCGCTCAAGGTTTCACGTGTGTTGGGGATCAAGGAATCCCCGAGATGGCTTATTGCCTGTTTTCGTCATTTTTTGCACTAATCCCTTAACCGTGCCACGTCAGGGGGTGTCACACACGACATCCTACTAACAACCTCGTCTGTGCTAATCCGCTTCATCCATCACTTCAAGGTCATCCGTGGCTGAGACGATAAAAGCTCTCTGTACAAGGTCATGTCTTCGGTTGCATTAGGGTGGGAAGTTCGGTTCTAGCGTTAGGCATGGGGTCAGGGTACCGGCTGTCTAAGGGAGTGTGTGGTTTTGGTTATGGGCAAACGTAACAGCATTTTACTGCCGTATGGTGCAGGATTGCCTGTTGTGCGGGACAAGATCGCTCGTCGCTGATTGGCTGAATCAGTTCCCTTAAAGCCAATCAGCGTGTGCCGTTCGTCTTTAGCATTAACTGGGTAAAATCTGTACATGATAAATTCGGCCCTAAAAGTGCTGCAAAAGTATGTTGTGAATCGTGTTTATTCACACCCCTTAATCCGGTCGCTTCACCTCCTACGCAGGGTTTCCCTTTTCGCAGCATGTCGTTAGCCACGCGGATCCTCAACTCCCCTCTCATTTACACGGATATTTGGATTATCCTCACACCTAGGTCTCGATGTTAGCGCATCTATGGCTCACGCATCTGCGGTATGGATACGTGCACACCCCACACGACACAACGACACCAACGTGGTTGAGCTCTGAAGTAAACGGTTGTGTCCACGTTCTCTCTGATCTTTTTCTTCATCGCGGGTATCAGGGAAACGTAATCGGGCCAGGTTTAATGCCGTGGCCCCGGTTTGGTTCAAGACAACATACTGGGGCCCACAGCAAGTACTATATTCGTTTTTTGACGAAATATTTGTGTCTGCATACTCAAAACTTCGTTTATATTCAAGCTTCGAATGTGGTTTATGGCGTTTAACGGATTTTGGAAGGTCTAAGAGTGATAAATCATTTCAGAATCAGATGAAATAGTAGTTGCCGTACGGTACAGCATTGCTTGTTGTGCGGGACAAGATCGCTCGTTGCTGATTGGCTGAACCAGTTCTCTTGTAGCCAATCAATTAGCGTGCGATGTTGGTCTTTAGCATTAACTGGGTGAAGTCGATACTTGGTAAATTCGACCTTATGCATAATGCAAAAGTACTATATTCGTTTTTTTTTGAAAAAAAAATAGTTGTGGCTATAAACTCATAAATTTGTCTATATTCACGCTTCGGAATGTGGTTTCTGGTAGTTAACGGATTTTACAAGGTCTAAGATTGATAAATAATTTCAGAATCAAGTGAGATAGTAGGGTCCGTTGATGAAAGTCGCCATTTTTTGACCTTTAGAATTGATGGAATGCCTCTGTTGATTTATGATCATGGACTGACTTGAAGTTCAGTCATTGGCTATGGTTTTACTAGATTTAAATTCCTGTCAAGCCGCTTTAAACCTGCTTGTAAACACTAAGATGGTGGATTTGTGCAGTGGCTTACCAGCAAAAGATCATTAGACGCTTTGGTTGGTAACCGCATTTCGGAATGGCATTATTACACGGTTGGGTCTATTGTTTGTGTTAGTTTTACCTACTAATTCGTATTCAGTAGCAGTTCTCAAACGCTAATTCATCTTCAAACGGTTTCAAGGTTGATCTTGTCAACAATAGAATGCCCGCCCACTGTTAAAGCCGCCGACATGCAACAAACAAGCACCACTTAGTCAAAGAGAATAGTTTATTCATGGAAAAAGTTGTAGATTGTCGAATTATTAATTGTTAGGGTCTAATCATTAATAAAGACAAGCTAGTTTGTGAGTGCGCGTCAAATGCACAATCAATGTTTGCAAGGAAATAGTTGTTATTGTCGCCTACACAGAAACCAGACTGCCAGACCCCTTTAGGAAGCAGGATGGGGCCATGGAGGAAGGCGTTGGGGTGGAGAGTGGTGGGGTGGTGTGATGAGAACATACATGTTTGTTTCTAAGTTCCTCTTTAAAGACTGGCTAAGGCAACAAAATAAGAGTAGTTCTCTAATAACAACAACAGCAAAAAACTGGGTTTCCTTTAGCATTACACAAGCCTGTTTACACAGGAATAAGAGAAAAGCATATGACGTTGGTTGCCTAGTCATTAAGACACAAAGACTACTATGTCTAGTAAACGTGTGTTTGATTGGTTGGTTGTCTGAGTGCACGTGTGTTTGATTGGTTGTTCGCCAGTGTGTTCGTGTGATTGATTGGTTGTTTGCCAATGTGTGTTCGTGTGTTTGATTGGTTGCTTGTCTGTGTACGCGTGTGTTTGATTGCGCTGAGCGCAAAGAGAACATCGACTAAGAGTAGACGTGTGTGCGCTTCACGCAGCGCGTGAAAGGGTGGGGGAATTGAAGGAGGCCAGAGGAAAAAGAAGAAACAAAAAGAGTGACTAGACGAGGGATTAGACACCAATGTAGTTGACGAGCGGTTGGGTGCGCATGCAGACGATGCACTTGCCGACGGAGTCCTGACTCTGACGCACCTTGATCACCTGGCCCATCACCATGCCGAACATGTGCTCGTCCATGGAACTCGGCATCACGCGCAGCCAGAAGTTCTTGTGCTCCTCGAAGAAGCCGCACAGACCCTTCGCTGTGCACTCAACGAACATGTGCGACCGGAATATCGGCAGGCAGCTGCCGGGTGAAGAGAGCTGCTGACCGCCGCCTTGAGCGCCGTAGCCGGTGTTCTAATTAAAGACGAGTTAATCAATAAATGACTTTGTAATTAAGACAGCTAGCCAATAGCACCACAGAGCCAGCCGGTCAGCCAATCAGATTAACGGCGGGACTTA